TGCCTGCTGCCTTTTTTCCGCAGATTAATCGATTGATCGATCGATTTGTTGTTCCATCCCCCCCTTTGTTAATCCCCGCTACTGCCTACCGAAGAGCGAAAAGAAAAAAAAAGCGAGAAAAAAGCAAAAAAGAGAGAGAGTCGTTCTCACCTCTCTGTCGTACTCTCTTCGCCCCTCATCGACCTTCCTGCGTCTCTTTCCCGCCAGTTGACGGGGAAAGAAGGGAGGAGGAGGAGGAGGAGGAGGAGAAGGAAGGGTAAAGAGGGGACAAGGAAGACAGAGGAGGAGGGGGGAAAGGAGGAGGGGGGAAAGGAGGAGGAGGAGGAGGAGGAGCAGGCGGAGGACGAGCTATCAGTTCCCTGAACAGCAGATACCACAAAACATCAATGCCACGTGGATCTCACGAGCGACTCCGACACCTGGATCTTGTAATCGGAAGCGGGACTCTTAACACCTGGATCTTCCAATCGGAAGCCTGATCGCGATCCCAACATGCGGATCGGATAACAGGTCGCGACAGCGACGAAACTGCTATCGCTAACCCCACTTGCTTCCGTGGCCCCTCTTCTGCATGAGGCGGAGGAGAGTCTTCAACGGGGATAAGGGAGAAGGGAGAAGGGAGAAGGGAGGAGGGAGGAGGGAGGTGGGAGAAAGGAGGTCGATCCTCTCTCAAAGCTTTATCCCCCCTCCGTAACGAGGCATTCTCTGATTCTGACGCCGCTGCTGGTGGTGTTGAGAGTACACGCAAAACGACAAAATCATAATCTACTACCCCTATCTGCACGTCTTGCCTGTTTGAATTTGTGAATACGTCAACGCGAAGTTGACATGTCCCAAAGCGCGCCGCTGTTGCCCGATCAGGCAAGAAATCTAGCACGCAGAAACAGCAATCGTCATTAATTAATTAATTAATTAATTATTAAATATGCCACTCATAGACGGAATCTAGCAGGCAGTCGTAGTGCTGGGTGTCCACGTGGCTAGCGAACGGAGAGAAAAAACACGCCTCCACTCGAATCGATACTCCAAAACACATCATCCTCTTCCTCCCTCTTCAACGCTCCTGCTCCCCTCCTCGAAGATGCAATCACGACACAGATCCAGTAGCTGCGCGCCGAGCCAATCAACGGTTGCGCCCCCTCGTCCGCCAGAGCACGACGCAAGACGAAAGAGCGGTAGTACCCCTTACCCACGGCGGCAAAGCGTCCTCGCTGCGCGCTAAGCTTGACCGCCTTCATCCCTCTCCCCTCCACACTCTCCCTTCCACCCCCTCCCCTCTCCTTCTTCCGTCCTTCCTCCGCCCGCACGAGAATGAACAGCTCCCCTCATCGACGATTCCTGTA